GTGCAATAGGATTGGACACATGATCACCCTTGTAATTCACCTACTCATTCATAATAAACCTACTCCCATGCCTGTATGGCTTGTCTTGATTTGAAGTAGGCTCGCACATCCCTTCTTACTTGGCAGCTGTTAAGGAAGTGCTGCAAGGGTGGGTTATTCCATAGATCAGGCAGAACTGAATGTTAAATCAGTCTCGGTGGCATTACCTCTGACACTCATAATACACATTCTATGCCAGTATGACTTGTCACGAAAATAGTTCGGCCTTTACATGCCTTCTTGCATGGTAAGTATTAGCTTCTAAATATTTAGTTAATGCGGGTAGTGTCTTTCCCCTGGGAGTGTCTTTACGCCCTTTGAGTTTGAGGCAAGACATATTTAGGGTGGTTACACCACTGGTGCTTTATGCGGACTAAAGAGGCGCTAGGAGGAGGAGGAGTGGTAGGGAGTGAGTTCACAACTCTTCATTAACTTCCCATTCTACCAGGTCCGACTAGTAACTGCTCCTCTTTTGTACAGTCCAAATGCCTACCCAAAAACTAGAAACAAATATGCATTGAAGATTGGATATTAGCGACCAGTATGGAAACCGTAACTTCAGTGACTCGAACCTCCAACAGGCTGGAACATCCTTGGCATCCTGGAACGTGCATTGGCACATCCACTGCGGAGGTGGAGAGGATGATCGAAGAATGAGCCAATTTCGTGAAATAGACTGGAAATGGGAGAGCGCACAACAGTCCAATAATCCACCTCAAAACTTTATGACCATCACCGCCTAGGATGTTCCAGCCACTGGCACTTACCCTTGGCACTGACAATGCTCTTCAGCTACTATCCTTCAACCTGTCCCTTCTCAAGTACCCATGCATTCAAAATAAATCTTCTTCTGCATTGGTGCGACTTGTCACTAATTGAGGGAGCCTGAACTACGCGGTGTAAATGCCGGAAGTAGAGGTGAAGAGAGGGCAAGAAAGGTGAGCAATAGGTTTGCATTAAACTGAATTGGATGCGTGAAACAAGTTTTTTGATGGACGGAATAAAGAGGTATTTACAGTATTTTACTCTTCTTCTATTATGGGATTTAGAGTGCACGAAGTAAACTGCCATCACAGAAAGGAAATCATGGGCACCATTTAATGCTGCAAGGAGTGATTTCACAAAGTGCTAGTAAATCTTAGTCAAGTAGAGGCTGGCCTACGTAGCACCTCTCAGCAGTCCTGATTCTATTTCACGCTCTTTGAATCAGTTCATATCATCTCTGCTGGGTTCACAGCTAAGCCCATGCTGAGGGACATAAGCAGGCGCGACGATCAAGTTCTGAAATGAAAACTGCATTTTGCTTTTAACATGTGAGCTAATTTGATGGCTGCTTTACTCCTGACAACAAAAGATATTCTGAGCTGGCGTTATGCCATATGATAGGCTGGTTCAGGAATGAATGCTTGTTACACAAGCAAAAGAACCCCACATTTGCACAAAATGAACTCAAAATGCGGTGCTAAGCAGAATTAAGTAAAGAAGAAGGATAAGGGCAGAGGGGCAGTAGCAACCGATTACTAAGGTGCCTCTCGATTATGCCAAATCTATGAGTGAATGATGGCGAAATGCAGCGTTGGCTATAATTTGCAGCTTCATGAGTGAAATTTGAGAGCTGACAAGGATTGTTCCAGGCTCTATCACGTTGAAATTGGTTGGACCCAATGTGGCGACACAGCTACAGTGTTACTGGATCTGCCACAGCCTGTCATTTTCCAAGATGCATTCGCATTTTAAAAAGAAATATAATCAGGTAAAAGCATATCTTATGTGGCGCTTAAATGATATGAACCCCTCCTGTCAGGTGTCAAGCACATGTACCTTGTCAAACAGCATTTTTCCATTCACGACTCTAGGTGTTATAGCATTACTGGGCTATGGAAAATCGCAGAAACAAACCTGGAAATTTCCACCAAACGAAATGTGGTTCTGATGCACGAGAAGGTGGACCTCTTTATTTGATATAAAACGGGTCAGTGAACAGGTCAGAGACCCAAATACTAAATTCAAAACAGTTCAATGGAGGTTTCACGGGCAGTCTGGACTAAATCCGGTAGATGAATCAATTTTTCATATCTAAAGTGGACAACCGACATTGGCTTGAAAGAAATTATTATATAGCCGAAATATCAGAGCACCATAGTTTTGATCCAAGTTTGCCTGATTTAGTGGCACTGGCTTTATAAGGAGTGGACTTTTATATATTTATTGATGTTTTATACATATGAATTGCGTCGGCGCACACAAGCGCAGTGCTATCACGTCGTTTCCTTTAATTTTAACAATGGAAGTGTTCATATTAGCAAAAAGTATTAATTGGCACAGACAAGGGAAGGAAGAATGGAGGGGAAGGATGTGAGTTGTGAATGTGAATTTATGAGGGGTATGCAGAGAGAAGTGAAGTTCACCCCTAGAGAAGGTGGTTGATTGTCTTCTCTCCACCATCTCGACCCTCCTTAGAGTGGAAAAGCTAAAGAAGCACCATTTTACTGAAGATGAAGCAGCGCCAGATAACTGGCAGCCTAACGCCTTAATTGCATGCCTCTGGTGTTGTCATGTCGGCGATTAGTGGTGGTGAGCAAAAGTGGTTAATGTCACTATCAGAAGGCAAGTTGATAAAACAGCTGGGTCTTGTCGCATTGCTACGTCCAAGAAGGCATGGTAATGACTAGCCCACTTCTGCCTCGTCAACTTATGTCATTGTGTGCGTATTTGTGTGAAAGGAGGAAGGTGTCTCATCAGATTCTGTGGGACGGCAACAATGGAGGTGAGTGGACACCATATTTGAACCTGTTTCAGGAAGATTGGCGAAGGCCCTTAATGTCAAGAGGATTGCCTTTTAACCGTCACTTCTACCATTACGAGTAGGAATAAAACCAAATGCTTTCCCAAAATTGCCGTAAGCATATATAATATGCAGTGGTACCTGCAGCGCCTCAGGTGTGTGAGCTGGTCTAGCCTAAACACTTGGTCAAGATGTGTTAAAATAGTGACGAATGTTGGATCCTGCTTACAGCACTTCTCCTCTGGGTGGTGGGAAGGGGATACAATCCCTCAAGAATAAGACACTTACTTAAGTGTAACTCTTTCAAAGATAACCCACCGCTTGCTAATTGCCTTCTCTGTCATGCAATAGGGAGTTACCCTCCATTATACTTGTACCACGCTTTTCCAATCCTGACCCTCATGGTTTGCATTGAGACACAAGAAGCAAAGAAGACAGTGGCCTATATGTAAGCCCCACGAGTATGCTATTTGCCTGCGGTTTGACATGAAAACCGGGACTTCAAGGACATTGCATGTCAGGTGCACAAATTCCACTTCATCAGGACGTACATATGCTAATTGTAGTCGTCGATGAGTGAATTAGATCTCTTGATACCGATCCAACTGCTAATGGGACAGATATTAAGGTACCTGGACACTTAATGACTGTTCATAGCTTTTAGGAATGATGAAAACAGTCCATAAAAAAATTAAGATACCTGAATGGGAGTGGCACACTAGCCTTAAGTTTGACGCCTCGCAATGAAAGCTCGGAGAATGAAAGCTCACGTACACGCACAATATGTAAATTCACAGGTGGCAGTGATGAGTGAAGCAAATACCTACTTAATAGATGCGAGAACTTGCTCGAGACTTGGTAAATGTTCGCGGAAGGTCGTGCAGATTGCTGAAAAATTAAAGATATTCGTGTCACAAAGTCGAACAGCGAAAGTAAATGAGCAATGTAAGGAGTGATTATTCAGAGGCATGTGGTAGAGATTGAAAGGAATGGAAATGCAAATAATATGAAAGATGTAGGACTAGGGTCAGGCAGCTAACAAAAAGTAATCATTAAGGACAGTTTTTATGTCGCCAGAGTCACAGCCACTGCTTCCAAAGAAGCAGCAATGACAAAATATTTCTTACTAATTATAGGTCTCCTTTGGTGGTGCGAAGGATAGTCGACAGGTATTTGTCAAAAGCGATCACTAGATCTGGCCCTGAAGGAAGTTGTTGTGGAATTTTGCACGAAGAAGGCCTACAGTCAGTTGCTGTTAAGGATATAGCAATTTACTTGCGTATAGTAGGACTGGTCTATTCTGTAAAATGCCTAGATGTCAATTAAGAGGCGGAAAGTGATAAAAATGTCCAAAGGAACTAGTGAAAAAGTGGTCTACATTGAATAGATTAAACAACGAGCAATAATATTTAGTGAAAAGAGTTAAATGATGCTAATGCGATTTCTCGTATTTTCTTCAATTTGTCCCTCTAATATACAACCCTTAAAAAGTGATTTGAAAAAAACAGCAGGCCAAGGAACTAATCACCACACATGCTGGACATATATGTATCACAAAATGGTCAACATTCACTAACATAATCAGAACAAAGGCTGCAGGTCAGCTGTAACTTTGGTCGCCTCAAGTGGTGTTAGTCAAGGAACAGCTAAAAAGGAATAATTTTCATTATCTGAGCAAGAACAATCCTTACCTGCTTTCTAGCTTCAATCTAACTGGCCTTTTTGTAACACAGGGTTCTCTGCATGTCACATACGCGACTCTGACAGAGAACACGCAAACCCCAAATCACAACCCAAATAGGGGCCAAACTATACTTGATCAGTAATATAGGTAATACGGGTAGGCCAGAGGAATCAAGTTTGCAAGGTGGTAAGAAAAAGTTGTGCAGGCTAGGAGAAAGGAATGAGAAATGAGTATGCTAGTCCCTCCTACTTGCATCCAATTTTTCCTTAGAAACACCAAGCGCAACCGTTAGACCAGACCTAGAAACAAAAACAAGGACTTAAGTACATTTGGATATGAGTTAATTAGAGAATAGATGTGCAAAATACCTCCAACTGAAGTAGCAATGGGGTATGAATCAAAATTGCTGACGAGATATCTCATGACATGCAACTAGTCAAAGTGGATTTTGGTGTCAGCCATACAGGTAGATAAGGAGTGTTTGCAATTTGCCAAAGGCCAGATGCAGAACGCTCGTTCGGGACCAACCGGCAATAAGCAAAGGGACCCCTTGAATGCTATATGTGATAAGCGATCCAACGAGCTCTGTCAGAGGTACAGATAACTTTTAAGGCCAGTTCCCTTTTGACCGCACTGTAGAAGGATCAAACAAACATATCCTGTTTAATGTTGGTCCTACCTCCCCTTCCCATGACTGAGATGACCTATTTAAGAGCTGAATACTTAAAAGAACCTAGCAATTGAACCGCAAATCGTCTCACATTAAAAAGGGCATCCTCATGAGTTTCGCATCTACCAAAATCTCTCAAGTATATCTGCATTGACGCATAACTTCGAGTTCTGTTCGTCGAAGTTACGTAAGAC